AATCCGAGTCCCCCCCCCCTCTGTTTAAGGTTGTCTTTAGTTTCTTAACATAAATGGCTTCCTTCCTCTCAAACCACCTGTCTTCTTTGTCCAAAATGTGAACATTCTGGTCCTCAAAGAATGTCCTTTGTCCATAAGGTGTAGATCAGGGGTTGCCAACGCGGTGCCCGCGGGCACCAAAGGGCCCTCAAGGACCACATGGGTTGCCCTTAACGCCTTCTGAAAATAGCAACTCAGCAGTGGGCAAACATTGAAATTTTATTTTATTCTGTGACTCTTCTTGTTAATCATTTATAGAGCATTTCATCATAGTAATCATATAGGGCATTTTAGCACTTATAGAGATTTTAAAATTATAATGTTTAAGGGAACATTAGAAATTAAAAGTTAACAATAAAAATGTGTTTAATTTGGATGAAGTTTAGGTGAACGCTGACCCCTCTTGTTCAAAGGTCAGTATTGGTAGCCCTTCCTATGATTTGATAGCCATGAAGTAGCCCTCAGCCTTGAAATGGTTGGTGACCCCTGGTGTAGATGAACCAGAGGAGGGCGCTCTTCTGTGTTGGCCATGCGTCAGTAGAGAGGTTGTTTGCTTTCTCCAATATAAAGATCAGAGCATTCCTCACTGCATTGACCTGCAGAAACCACTCTGCTCAGATTAGGTCTGGAGGTTTTATCTTTAGGATGCACTAGCCTCTGTTTAAGGGTTTGGTTTGGTTTGAAATGTTCTGGGATTTTGTGTTTGGAGAAAATCCTCTTGAGTTTTTTAGAGACTCCTGCAACATAAGGGATTGTGATGTTTAAACGCAAAAACATCACAATCCCTTATGTTGGGATGCCTTATTCACTGCTTTGAAATTCAGAAAAAAAACAAAGCTTATAAACCAGAGTCTCTGAACAAATGTCTGCGTAGTCAGTCACCTACTCTAGATGGTTTTAATCAGGCCTCAGTAGAAGCGCTTAAGCAGGATATTTCAGTCAAATCCATCTCTAGGCAGGTCTGGAGAAAACCTTCCTCTCCTTTTTGCATTTATCTTTAGTAGAATTGATCACTGCAGCAGTGTCTTCATAGGTTTGCTTAGAAAGTCCATCAGACAGCTGCAGCTGCCTGTGTCCTCACTAGAACTAAGAAAGTAGAGCACATCAGCCAGGATCTGAAGTCCCTCCACTGGCTTCCTGTAGCTCAAAGAATAGACTTTAAAATCCTTCTGTTAGTCTAGAAATCACTGAATAGATCAGCACCTCAATCCAGATCTGTTGTCAGTGGATCAATATTGACAACATTAGAAATATCCCTCCATTCACAGGTGTAGAAAAACTACAAGCTTCTGTTACTTTAAGGGTGGAAGGTTGTTCATGTTATCTGGAAGGCTGCAGCTCTGCAGGACCAGGAGAACATCCTGTCAATGACGGGTGCTGGATGGAAGGCAGCTCCGTTTATCAATGATAAATGATCCAAGATGGCCGTCATAAAGGAATGTGTCCAGCGTGATGGACAAGAAGAAGCTAAAAGCCTGGAGGCTTCAGAGGCCAAGGAGGAAACCTCATCAGAATCTCCACAAATTAAATGTCTCCTGGTTTCAGGCATGTTTCCTTCAACAGAAGAAGATCCACAATGATAGATAGAAAAAAACTCCCGGGACTAAAGTCTTAATCTGCTAATGATCTGCAGCCAACTAGAGCCAGGCAAATTGAGCTTTGGTGAGTCTGCTGGCAGCCCAACGGCCCAGTCTGCAGATCCTCACACGCCAGCGGCGTGCAGCCAGTGTCTGAGGTGACGCTACGGAGCAGCGGTACCAACGCTGCAGGGCCATGAACCCAACGGCAGCCGGTTCCCCGAGAGAAGATGAACAAATGAGCCCATTACGGGGTTAGAGCGCTCTCAACGTCTGCACTACTGATAATACCAGTGGCAGCCATCTTTAATGCAGAGGTAGAGGCCCGACTTTACAACCCATAGTTCTGACTTTGAGGGGTGGAAATAGCCAGTAAAACGCAGCATCAGCATGTCTCTGGTGTGGCAGCTAACACACTGCATGAAGGTGAGCAGAGTGGAGGACATGGAAATGTGAATAAATCCTAGGGACCAGAGGAAGAGCCTGGGGGGCTGTTTGATGTCAGCTGGCAATAAGGAGGATGACATTGCAGGCTGCTTTGCCTGAGCAGAGGGCGGGACATACAATGTCATCTCAGAATAAGCAACGGTGGACAGTAGACGCTAAAAGTTAGTTAAAACCAAAGAAAAAACATGTGAAAAACGGACCTGTCTGATGGTCCTCGCCACCAGGCTCTCCAGCACCGGCCCTCGGTCTTCATGCAGAAGGTGGACTTCATCCAGGATCAGGAGACGGACAATCTGAGAGAGCGCCACGTCGCCGACGCTTTTCCTGGTCACCACGTCCCACTTCTCCGGCGTGGTCACCAACATCTGGAAACAAGGATGAACACATGCAGCTGTTCAAACGGCACATTAAGGCGGCGGCAGTCAGGGCTAGAAGCTGGATGTTCACTGGGTTAGAGAGCAATGCAGGACTGCATATGCTAAGTACTCAAGGTTTCACATGTAAATATTGTTTTGACAGCTGGTGCTGGTTTGGTGAACCAGGAGGGAGCATCAGTCCTGATGTTTATGACTGAGAAGTGGAACAGGAGAGGGAAGGTTCATGGTTATGGCAGGAAGGTTCATTCATGCAACCAGACAATTCAAAGTGCTGCAAATTAAAAGAAACAAGAAGAAAACAGAATAGTTCATCACATTGGCATAAATGACTAATCTAATAGAAGAAAATGAAAAAATAAAGTCATAAAAAAGGGAAGCTGGAATGCAAACTAATACTGTCTAGATATTACTAATCTTTCTTGGAATTTGTTCCAGATTAGGGTGGCACAAAGTTTAAAAGCTGCCCTAGCTTACCCCTGAGGGTAAACCTCTATTAAAAAGTCGAATTCCACATGCTGCTCAAAAAATTCACATTATAGCGCTCACTCCCGCCT